TCTCTCTCTCTCTCTCTATCTCTATCTCTATCTATCTATCTATCTATCTATCTATCTATCTATCTATCTATCTATCGATCTATCTATCTATCTATCTCTATCTATCTATCTATCTATCTATCTATCTATCTATCTATCTATCTATCTCACAAACACACACACACACACACACCCCTTTTTTTTTTTGCCTTCTTCTTCTTCTTCTTTTTCTTCTTCTTCTTCTTCTTCTTCTTCTTCTTCTTCTTCTTTATCTTCTTCCTCTTCCTCTTCTTCTTGTTTATAGTTGGACTCATGGGTTTTCGTTTGTTTTTTGTGTTAATGCAGGTGCAATGGAGATTCTTGTGCGGCGCTAAAGGGTCGGAGCGCATCGGGGTTGCAACGACTGTGTGACGGAGGTTCAACGGAGATTCAACGGGGGTACAACGGGGTACAACGGGGGTTCAACGGGGGTTCAACGGGGTTCAACGGGGTTCAATGGGGTTCAACGAGGTTCAACGAGGGTCCAACGGGGGTCCAACGGGGGTCGAACTGGGGCCAAGGCCGTTTGTAGCACCGCCAGGGGGGGGGGGTTGCTCAGCGGCTGCCATGGTGGGTCGACCGAGGGGACTGCCTTGAAGCCGAACAGGCACGACTTTGAGTGGGGTTCGCGATGCCGCGACAACAGACGCGCAGTCATGAGCCTGCGCCTGAAAATGTGTAGCAGGATTTCAGGTGCAAGGGGGCTGTGTACCGTTACATCGTCGTCGGCCAGGCGGTCGACACCCGGGGGGTTAGGATTCTACAGTGCACCTTCTGCAATGAGGTGTGGCAGGGAACTCAATAGTACGCAACAAAACACTTCACCCAGCCACAATATTGCAAGAAGGTGTCCGACGAAGCGCTGTTTGACATTGCGCAAAAGTGCACACACCGCTTTGAGGCCGACCAGGCAGAGAGGGTCCGGCACTACGCACTGGAGTGTGGGCTACATGTCCTGTGGTCTGGAGCGATGGGTGGCGAGGCAGAGTGGAGTGGACAGGGCGTGGGCGGGGGAGAGGATACCCAGCGTTGGTCCGAGGGTGGTGCTGCGAGAGATGGGGCGGGCGCCGGTGTTGCGGAGCAGGGCGAGGCGGGAGTCGATCGCGAGGGTAGCATGGCAGAGGGTGAGCGGACGGCGACGGGAGAGGGGGCCGTGCCTGAGGTCGATCCGGTTACTCGTCATAGGACGCGGAGCTGGGATCCCGCGGTAAAGAGGCCCGTCCCGCCTGAGATACCTAGCACGCCGAGTTCCTCCAGGACTCCTGTTAGTGATATGCCTGGTTCTTCCAAAAGGAAGGACGGGGGTGCTGATCTTCCTGCCACGTAGGTTGGGAAGAGGTTGAGGCAGCAGAGGGTGACGGACACATATGGTGGCGAGTGGATCGGTCGCTGGAGGCAGGCATTCTTTCGCTGGGCGTACTCCAGCGGGGTTGCCTTCAATGCCTTCCGCAACACGCTGTGGAGGGACCTCCAGCAGGTCGCACTTCAGCATCCTCGTGGAGGACCTCTGCTCGTGCTTCCCTCCCACAGCGAGATCGCGAGCATGCGAGCTGTGGAGATCCACCGCCAAGAGTTGGCGAAGGAATTGGAGGAGGTTAGGCAACCATTTTGGTCGAGCGGTGCCACCCTCCTCTCTGACGAGAGGAAGTCACAAGACGGGCGACCGATCGTGAACTTCCTCGCAGCGGGGTCTCGAGGGGTCGTCATGTACACGACGATCAACCGAGAGGGGGAGCCTGATGATTCCGTGCGCGTTCTACAGAGATGGGTCACCATCTTCCACGATTTCAGGTTTGGTGGCCCACAGCGGGTCAATGCTATATGCACTGACTCTGCTTCTGCGTATGTGGGGGCTGCGAGGGCTTATGCCGACGCAGCTATGCCCCCCGAGCTGCGGAGGATTACTTGGCTCCCGTGCTCCGTCCATGTCTGCAACAAGTTGTTGTCAGACATTGGCACGATCTGCACCTCTTTTGTGGACACGATCACACGTGCCCGAGTTCTAGTGGTGTTTTTCAAAACCCACGAGGCCGCTCTTAGCTTCTTCCGGAGGCGCACATGAGGAGCTTTGGGGCTCATACTTTCATGTGAGACGCGATTTGCGTCTTTGTACTCCATGTTGGAGAGGTTGTTGGCTCTACAGGATCGTTTGCAGGACATGATGAGAGGGGAGGACGGGTGGGCTTGGGCTACGATCCCGTGGTCGTGCGACGTCTGCGATATGGCGCGGTGGGTGCGCCGCCAGATCAGGTGATCCCCTTGGTGGGAGAGGATGCGGGCCGTCTTACACGTCATGGAGCCCGTCATGGAGTTGTTGAGGCGGATGGATCGTGGCGGCCAGTTCATGTCCCTCGTTGTAGAGTGGACTCAGGATCTTGCACGCCTCGTGCGGGACGCTTGCGCACCTCTCGGCCACTCGTTTTCTGATCGCGTCATGAGGCGTGTGCAGGCCCGTATTCACCACATGATGGAGCCTGCACACTGCGCGGCGTTCTTACTGAACCCCCGTCGACGGGATGTTCAATACTTCTCAGCTCAGCTCGACGAGTACCACACATGGCTTGTTCGACAAGCCAAGAGATATCTGTTGTTTCAAACCGACTTCGACGTGGAGGGTGCTCCCTACCTTGAGGTATGTCGGCAGTTCGAGGACTTCCACATGCAGCAGGGTAGGTATGGGAGTTGGGGCGGGGGAGAGGGCCGCGCTCGGGCGCGCACTTGCAGCGGGGACCGCGAGACGATGGAGTGTGCGTCTTGGTGGTCTCAGTACGGGGGAGACGCGCCTGAGTTACAGTATTGCGCCCTTTGTTTGATGCATATGTGGTCTTGCGCCTCTCCAGCGGAGAGGAACTAGGCGGTCCACGAGGGCATCCACACGAAGAAGCGCAATCAGTTGGCCTTAGAGAAGGTCGTCCATCTTGTCGAGATCACGGCAAATGTGCGGTTGATGGAGTACAGACGTGCAAGTTGTGGGTATGTTCTCCCTTGGCAGCGAGACGAGGGTATGCTCGACGATCAGGCAGGCATAGAGTTGGACCCCGTGCGTTTGGGGATGAGGAGCTCGATGACGCCGGAGGAGATCGAGGAGCAGGCTACCCTCATTTCGCGCGATCCCATCGGGTCCTCTGCGCCGCCCCCTGCAGAGTCTGTTTTTGGTGCTCGTGCGGCTATCTTCTGGCCATACCCCAGGGATGATGCCTCTGTGGACGAGAGGGAGCGGGAATGTGCGGACGACCCCGCACTTCCCATCCCGCGCGAGATTGACGAGTTGCACAAGGAGGGCGGTGACTCGCACAAGGGGGCAGAGTGGCCACATACCGCGCTTGGGGCGGGGGATTTCGGGGGAGTGGAGGCGAGATCACCCACTCCCGCACGAGAGCATACGCCTGCTCCTACCGGCACAGTGCGGGAACAGACGACTGTTTCCGCGACCGCGCAGCAGCGGACTCCTGCTCCTACGAGGATGTGCGAGCGGACGAGTACTCACGCGACAGAGTTCGGACCTTCGTCGCAGTTGCATCTTCCTTGTCATTCAGTAGCATCGTCCGCCGAGACTGCTTCCATAGGGCATGTTGAGTGCTCACCATCAGCGGTCAGGAGAGAGGACTTGGGATCCTCGTTGCGCATACGCGGCCATGGATCGTTGTTTAGCATAGCCCGTCAGCTCGTTTTGGAGGAGGGTGTTCATAGCGGGACAGCGGCGGTGAGGGAGAGACGGGCGGAGGAGCACGGAGCGAGCGGAGTTGACGACCTTGAGGGTATTCGAGGTATGGGGGACGAGTTAGCGGGAGCAGGGCGGACAGGGTTGTCGTCTACGCTGCATGATAGATTAGGGGGGGGTGATGGTGCGCAGGTTGAGAGGGAGGCGGGAGTGGAGGTGGTCCAGGTGGATGATGGTGCGCAGGTTGAGAGGGAGGCAGGACTGGAGGTGGATGATCGTGCGCAGGTTGAGAGGGAGGCGGGAGTGGAGGTGGTCCAGGTGGATGATGGTGCACAGGTTGAGAGGGAGGCGGGAGTGGAGGTGGATGGTGGTGCGCAGGTAGA